CAACCTTGAAGCAGGACAGTCCCACAATATTCCTTTTCCTGTCTCTTGCTTTCCTTCACCACCGCCTTCTTCTTGAACATCCATCTACCTGAGAGACATCTTAGCAGTGAATTTGCCATTAATTTCTAGTTTTATTGTACTATGATCTGATAATATACATGGGATGTTGATTGTTCTGCATTTACTTCAGCATGTTTTTTTGGCTAGTATGTGATCTGTTTTGTAGAAGGTTCCATGTGCTGCTAAAAAGAATGTGTATTCTGTTAAGTTCATTTGTTTGAAGGTTTTAACTGTGCTTCTTTGTTTATTTTTGCCTGATTGATCTGCCTACTTGTGACAATGGGGTTTTGAGGTCCCCCACTGTAATTGCATTTTAGTTTATCTGATCTTTTATTTTCAGTATTTATTTTGTGAAGTTGAATGTGTCCTTGTTTCATGCATGAGTGTTAATAATTGTTATCTCTTCCTGTTGAGTGGTCTATGAATTTCTTCTTGGGTTATGTGTTTCTTGTATACAGAATACTGTTGGGTTTTGTATGATCTATTCTGCCAGCCTGTGTCTTTTTTTTTTTTTCTTTCAGCCTGTGTCTTTTGATTGGGAATCAAGACTGCTTACTTGGGGCTATTCCTGAAGCGTACTGACGCATTCTGGTCACTACGTCCTTTTCCTGTTGCCGGCTCCCTTTCTTTCCCTTCCACTTAGCTGCTCACCCGCCCTGCGTGTATTCATTCTCTTTTGGGTTGTGTGTCTCATCGTCTCTGGGATATTCTTGAGAATATTTTGGAGTGCTGGGTTAGTGATCATGGTTTTTCTTTATCATGGAAATATTTTAGTTCTCCATCAGTTTGCAAAGATAGTTTTGTAGGACATACCAGTCTAGCTGGAACTTCTTTTCTTTCAAGGCTTGATATCATAATGTTTTCTGTTATTTGTTCAACTTTGGATATCCTTTCTCAAAAAGATATATGCATGCTTATTTTATTAAATAATTATAATAGCTTTACTCCTTGAGAGCTCATTTTATAATTTATCTTCTGAATTTTTCTTGTAGTAGTTCATTTCCTTGTGGCTTTTGATCATAATCATCAGCCTTGACCAAACTCTCAAAATTTCTAGCCGTTCTCTTCTGTTACATTTCAGCTTTTGATTCTGTGCTTTTTAGTGGTTCTTTGAAATATTTCTGATTCTTTATAAAGCTCTGATCTTAACTCATCTGTCAGTAAGGACAGAAGTGCACTAATAAATAGATAAATAAATAAATAAATACCTTTTGGTTTGATTTATCTTTTTTTTTTTTTTTTTTGCGGAACTGGGGATTGAACTCAGGCCCTTGCACTTGCCAGGGAAGCGCTTATTCCACTGAGCCATCTCCCTAAGAGAAAGAGTCGGGCCGGGGTACGAACCGGAGACCTCGCGCTCCGTGGCCCGGCGCCAAGACCGCCGCACCAGGTCGCCGCCTTGATTTATCTTATATGCACTTAACAGATGTTTATCGTAGTTATTGTCTGCAACTGTCTCATGCGGAAGATAAATGCATGTCTTCTATGTGATATCTGAAATCTAACGAGAGGCAAATGTAGATAAAAATTATGGATATTGCTGATTTCAATGAAGTCTAGTCAGCCAGAGACTGGAACAGTGAGAGTGGTGCTGGGTGGAAGGACAGTGGGGCCAGAAATTCATTTAACACTAGCAGTTTTCCTGCCATCTGAAGAGAAGATTTTAGGAGGATGAGGAATTAATTGCTCTTCAAAGTAGTAGATGAGGAGCTACGTGATTCGCAAGCCACAGGTTAAAGTATGAGAATTATGTATTTTATCAAATGTCAGACAGATCTGTTTAAGCTAGAAAGTTTGAATGTATTTGTAGTACTGTGTTCAGTTTGTAAAGTGCTTTTATTTGTAACTAACTTCAAATTTTAGTTAATCGTGAGAGAAAAGCCTTGATAATGGAGGCGAGGCATTCGAGCATTTATTGTCATCAGACTGTCTGCTGCAGTCTGGTTCCTTACTGAACATGTGTAAAGTTTGGGTGATTTTACATTTTCAAAATGAGCTTGAAGAGAGATTGGTACAGGGAGGATGAGAAATGTGCACGATAAAGCTTTTTTAGCTTTTAATATCCTGCAGAAGGACACTGAAAATTGGTCTCTTTGGAATGAAGAGCTGGGAGTAGATTTGGCTGCCTCTCTGTCTGTCCCCCCATGTACCCTCCTTCTCTCGGCACCAGGCTGCTCGCTGAGCTGGTAAAGAGGAGTGTGACTTTTTCCTGAGAACAATCAAGGAAAGGTAGTTTAAGTTCATTTTGAGCAACAGTGTTTTGTAAATTATCAGGCAGGAAAAAAAAAAACAAAACAGCTTTTTCATGGGAATTGTGTTAGATAATCAGTTTGGAAAAGGCTTTAAAAATCATGTGGGTGGCAACAAGTTTTGAAAAGTTATATTTGAATATAAAAAGATAGTTACGCTTTAAGAATTTTATATTCTTTTTTACATATTAGTTTTAATCTTATAATTTGAGTACAAATATTCATGATAATACAGTATGCACATTTTATTTGATTTTAAGAACTAGCCTGTGATTGTTCCCATTTTTACATATTGACAAATTATAACATTTTATTTGTGAATAATATTTCAGAGTTCTAATATGTATATCCTGAGCCAAGTAGGTGAAAAGAAAAATGCTTTTAGTATTCTCCCCTCGCCAAAGAGTTGACTATGGAATATAGTATGCTTTTATCTACTGCAGTGTTACTGGTGGTGTCCACTGTGTTTTAGTTACCTCCAACGTAGAGCTGGGGTTCATTCATTTGGCTTAACAGTTTGGGTAGGCCGAGTGAGATTCCTACTGCTTTTCTTTTTCTGAGACAGGGTCTCCTATGTAGTGCAGGCTGGCCTGGAACTTGCTTATGTCACTTGGCCACTGGCCTGGAACTTCCATGACCTTCCTGTCTCGGGCCCTCCCCCAGTGCTGGGATTGCAGGCTTGCACCGCCACACCCAGCTCCCTTTCCTCTTAAATGTGAAAGAGTGATGGAAGGATTGCCATGTAATGTGTATCCCTGGACAGCACTGGTAATGTTTCCTCTATTGACATTTCCTTATCTGTCTGTATAGTTTATATTTTTATTTTGTAGATGAAAATAAAATGTTAACTGCAAGGTCAGGATGCACAATAGAAGATCGTGTAATTGCGGGAAGTGTAGAAGAATTTCGTAAAGATTTCATTTCCAGAATATGGCTGACCTACAGGGAAGAATTTCCTCCAATCGAAGGCTCCACGCTGACGACAGATTGCGGCTGGGGCTGCACGCTGAGGACGGGTCAGATGCTGCTGGCGCAGGGGCTCGTCCTCCACTTCCTCGGCAGAGGTGAGTCTGGTCTCTGGGCAGAGGCTTTGTGTGTTTGAGTTAGTTTGTCATGAACTTCAGCTTGCATACGGTGTAGAATCCTCCCAGGTTAGTTTCTTGACTCCCTGATGGTTTTTAAAGTTGTAACTAATCTAGCATTTTATATTTTTATTGAACTGGGCCATAAAAGTCTTTATGTGTAAATTTTTATGGTTGTCGTCTCAAAACTATGGAATAGTTTATTATTCTTGTTACCACAGTAAATTATATTAGTTTAGCTTTTAGTAGCCTTTGCATTTTTGTGTTCTTTCTTTCTGTTTTGGTTGAACTTTTTAGAATAACTTCAGTAAGTCCTACGCAGTTCAACATCCGTGACTTTGAAAATTAGTATTTTTT